GGATGGATGATGGATGGTGGATGATGGATGGATGATGGATGGATGATGGATGGATGATGGATGATGGATGGATGATGGATGGATTATGGTGGATGGATGGATGATGATGGATGATGGATGGATGATGGATGGATGGATGATGGATGGTGGATGATGGATGGATGATGGATGGATGATGGATACAGAATGGATGATGGATGGATGATGGAGGATGGATAGATGATGGATGGATGGTGGATGATGGATGATGGATGGATGATGGATGGATGGTGGATGATGGATGATGGATGGATGATGGATGATGGATGGATGATGGAGGATGGATAGATGATGGAAGGATGGATGGACGATGGATGAATGAACGTAAGGAAGAATGCGTGAATGAATAAATGGGTGAGTGAATGAATGAGTACAGACGCCGCGCCCCATTTCTGAGCATCTCGGAAGAGTTGGCAATGGAGAAACCCCGTGAGCCACCCACCCAACCTCACCATTGCTTTGCAATGGACACATCTTGAGGCCAGAACCAGCCTTGGGACCGGGAGACACACAAGCCCCCGGCGACAGTGTGGGCCTGGCCTCTCGCTGTGGAGTAGACCCTGGGGGTGGGGGAGCGGCTCCATCGCAGGCGGACGGCCACGTCCAGTAGAGTCACTCATCGGGATGGACATCAGACCCAGAACACGGGGGAGAAACTGGGGCCCAAACGGAATGTCCACTCATTCATGGCCGGGGCAGAGCCTGGACAAGAAAGCCCAGAGGTGGGCTTCCCAGGCGTCTCACGCCCCAGCCCCCGGCCCCTTCTCTCCACAGGGCGCCCGCAGGAAGACCCAGGGCGCCTGGACATGGCAGCTGCACCTGCCGCTCGCCCCCCGCTCCTCACAATGGCAGAATAAAACAGTCCCAGATTTAGAAACAGGCTTCAAAGCTGCCATCTCCTGCTCCCCCGACACGTCAGACACACACATTATTCTCCGGCGCCCACGTAGCCTCGACAGCTTCACAGCTGCTTCCAGAACCAAGACCAGGAAAACAAAAACAGGCCAAAAAAAAGAAAAAAAGAATCAAACAAAACAAAATCGCTCTGCAGGTCCATTGTCTGGGCTTTTCCAAGGCGCCTCGGGCAGAATGTCTCATCAGCCCTCCCAGAGCCCGGCCCCGCCTGCCCGGCTCACCGGCACGTGCCCACGGAGACTTGTCTCCAGCATCCAACATGCTGAAGTTGGGGTCCCCAGGCCGGTTCCTTCTGGAGTCTCCCCAGGAGAATCTTTCCAGGCCTCTGTCCTGGCTCCTACAAGCGGCCGGAATCTGGGGCGTCCTCCATGCTCCACCCACTTCTCCTCCGGCTCCCAGGACCTTGTCCCTCCGGGGCGGCCTCCGGAGCCTCAGTCCTCACCGGGACACCAAGCGCGGGGTAGCAGCCCCTGAGCGCCTCATCTGAGCTGGATTATATCCATGGAGACCCTAGTTCCACTCACAGCGCCATTCCCAGGACGCAAGGGGTAGGGCGCAGACCCATTTCTTCCGGGGTCACACGATTGAACCCACAGCAGCATCCAAGACTAGCACAGTAATGGGGGGGTGTGAAGACAAAGAATCCCCCAACGCCCACCTGACAAGCCCTCAGCACAGCGTTAGAACCCAGCGGGTCTGGCCCCAACCAGTGGTCTCTCGAGTCTGGGCCCCACGGACCAAGCATCTTTCTCTCCGGCCCTCTTCGGAGGATTAAAAGGAGACAAACAAAAGGGGAGAGGAGGGGTGCCCCGAGGGCTGGGCGTGCTGTTCCTCGGCCCACGTTCAGCATGATGCCAGGACGAGGACCCTGAGCAGAGCCGGCACGGCCATGCTGTCTTCACACACTCGGCGGGGTTTACAGGGATGGGTTTCCGAAAACAGGATCTGAAAACAGGCATCGGAGATCACTGCTAGGTGAGAGCTGTGCAGATAATGAGGTGCGGGGCTAGGACGAGCCCCGGGGAGGGGCGTCCACGGGGAATCCTCTGAGACTTCACTAGAAATGAGACTTTGCTAGAATAAGATTTCACTAGGAATGAGAGTTCGCTAGAGTGAGACTTGGCTAGAAATCTGAACACGAGGCTGGACCCATCAGAGGGGCCCCCTAGGGTATGGGGAGCAAAATGAAGACAGGGCGTAAGGAGGGCGACACAGGATGCTGGGGCGGGGGTGGTGGGCTCGGTGCACTGAAATCCATCACGAGGAGCTGTGGGCCATAACCCCTACGTCATGCACAGTGCCTAAGGCGACGTGACCACAATAAAAATATAACACCATAAAAAAAGACAAAACATTAAAAGGCTGGGCCACCGGCTGGGCCAACAAGACGGATTCCCGGGATGCCTCTGCTATCTGTGCTCATCGCTGTTGTGTTTGTTGGTTGTTAAGAGCAGCTCATGTGACAATAGCGCCAAGGTCTGCTCAAGGGCCGCAGAGGACGGTGCTGAGGACCGGGTTGACCAGTTGGCCGCTGTCGTGGTCACTCCCAGCTTGTCCTCCAGGGGGTGCTGTAGCCCCATGGGGTTTCCCGTAGGCCCCCACTGCACTGGCCCCTCTCCAGGTGGGATGTCCACCCTGCCTCTGAGGTGCAGGTGAGGCTGCCTTCACGCCAGAGCCCTAAAACTCTCCAAGGGCCTCGATGATCCTGAAGTGACCTGCAGGGTCCACTTTCACCTCCTGAAGCCCCGGGAGCAGGGACTCTGTAGGGCTGGAGGGGCCGCCCGGGCTGTGGCTGAGATGCAGGGACACCCCCCAGGCCAGAGAGAGGACCCCAGAAGCCAAGAGCTATTTCCCACTGATGTCCAAGGACTTGTAAATGGACACCTCGCGGAACTAGATTCTGGGGTGACTACGTTTGAGTTCCCTTATAGCATCCCCACAAAAGCCCTTGAGCTGGGGGCCCCATTATTGGGGCTTCTCCCCTACAAAAGACCATGCATGTGTCTGGTTTTGAGGTCCCACATTGGGGTGATTTATCACAGGTGCATTAGGAACAAAGTCACATGCATTGAGCAAGCGGGGGGTGGCCCCCCAACTACTGCTGGAGCCCTCAGCTCTCTGTACCCCAGACTGTGGCCCCACAAGCCACATTAAAGTAGGGACAGTTGGGCAGCTGTTCTGGCCAGCTGTGACCATGCAGGCCTCTCTAGGCATCTCCTCCTCCTAAGCCTTTTAATAATAGTTTGATTAAACATTGCAAATGTTACCTGTATAAACAGGTACAGAGTGGGGGACCCCTGGGAGGTGGGGCCTGCGTATCTCCTCGGGGTGCCAGTGGTCACTTTCACCCCCATGGACATGCCTGTCCACTGGCCTTTGCTTCTGGACAAACACCCTCCAATGCCGCCTCTCCCTGGGAGGGTGAGCCCAGACAGCTGTCTGCACCCCACAAACATGCAGAAACCCTTCTTTCTCATTGTGGGGCGACCACAAAGGGACAGCACCCCCTTGTTGGCCAGGAGGCCGGACACAGCCCACCTTCCTGCAGCCTTTTGACTGCGGACGCTTGCCAGCCAATCACAGCCCAGCAGTGCCCCTGACAACCAATCAGAGGCCAGTACACGCCCCTGACAACCAATCAGAGGCTGGTACCCGCCCCTGACAACCAATCGCTAAATTCAAGCAAGTGTCCCAGCCCCAAGGCCCCCTGATGGGGCGGGATGCTGCGTGGGCGACCCCCAACTCCTGGTTGGGGTTCCCACCCTGTCCCCCCAGCTCCCTGGTGCATTCTTGACTGTATCGCAGTGGGGGTGGGGGCTGGGGCGGCTCCCTGCCTCAGTTTCCCCATCTGCAGGGCAGACGGTGGCCACAGCCAGGACCCCGGCTTTGGGGGACCCCCCTTGGGTGCGCGCTGGAGCTGACCCAGAGGCGGAACTGGAGGGGTACCCCGCGAGCTGGGCGTGGGCGCCCCCAAGGCAGGCCTAGGGGATCCCCTTCTTGGGGGGTCCGGGTCTGATGCAGAGGGGGGTGCCCCTGTTCCATGCTGGATGTTGGGGGGTCTCTGCGGGTGTCGGTGGGAGGTGCTGGCGGATGCCGGCGGGGGTCTGCGCTGGTGACTGAGGTGGGGGTTCCACGAGGGGCGGCCCAGGTGGGGTGCATCGGTGGTGGCTCCAGTTTGGGGTGTATGTGCGTGGGGGGTGTGGTCTCCCTTCTGTGGGTTCGAGGTCCATAGCCTGGGTGGGCGTCTGCGTGATGCCTGAAGTTTTGGGGGATGCCCACTGGGGTTCCGTGGCCCAGGCGGGGTTCAGCTGGAGTTGGGGTGCAGGTGAGGGTCCCGCAGTCCTGGCTGGAGCCTGTGCTTGGGGCGCGGTGGGGTCTCTCAGTCTGGACACAGGTTCTGTGGGGTCCCGGCTTGGGGTGGGGCGAGGCCCTTGGGTGCGCACTGGAGCTGACCCAGAGGCTGGACTAACTGGAGGGGGACCCCTGGAGCTGGGCAGGGCGCCCCCAATCAGGCCTACGGGGTGCCCTTCCTGGGGTTGCACTGGGGTTCCGAGGCCCAGACGGGGGTCCGGCGGGGGTGCTGAGGCCCCGGCGCGGGCCAGGTTGGGGTGCCGCGGCACGCGCTGGGGCGCCTCGCCCCGGCCTGGGTGTGCGTCTGTGTCTCTCTCCGGGCCTCGGAGGGGTCCGGGTGGGGTTCCGGGGTCCGGGAGGCGCGGGCAGGGCCCCCCGGCCTGGAGGGGCGCAGGGGGTCCCGCGGGGTCCGCGGTCCAGGCCGGGCTCCCGGCCCGGGGAGGGCCGCGCGCGCGGGCGGGGGCGCGGGGGGGCCGGCGGCCGGGGCGGGGGTCGGGCGCGCGGGCCGGGCCGGGCCGGGCCGGGCGTGGGCGCGGGGGGCGGGCCGCGCGGTGCGTTTCCGCCGTCCGGCCGGGCTGGGCCTCGCGGGCGGCGCGGAAGCAGCGGGCCGGGCCGGGCGGCCATGTCGCCTTTGTCCGCGGCGCGGGCCTTCCTGCGGGTGTACGCGGCGGGCGCGCTGGTGATCCTGGCGCAGCTGCTGCGCCGCTGCCGCGGGGGCTACTCGGAGCCAGGTCAGCGCTGCGCGGGGCCGGCGGGGCGCGGGGGTGCGCCCGGGGAGGGGCGCCGGGCGGGACCCGGGCGCGGGGGCCGCGCGCCCCTGGGGAGTCCCGCGCGCCCCCGGCCCGGGCCCTGGGGCGCGCGGCTGGAGCGCGGCCGGCCCGTCTCCGGGGCGGGGGTCGCCCCCAGCCCCCCGCGTCGCGCCCATCTCGAGCTGGGGGCCCGGCCGTGAGCGCGCGCCACGCGCCGGCGGGACCCCCGGGCGCCGCGGGGAGGGGTCGGCGGGACCCCCGGGCGCGGCGGGGGCTGGGGGGTCGGGATCCCCGCGGCGCTCGTGCGCGCGCCCGTGCGCCGGTCCCCCGGGCGCCTCTAGGGGCGCGGGGCGCGGGGCGCGGGGAGGTGGGGGGAGGCGCTTCCGCCGCGCGGCAACTTTGGGCTCTGACCTTCGCCGACACCCTCCGGGGCGCGCCCCGCCGCGCTGGGGACACGCGGAGGCCCAGGCCGGCTCCTGCCGCGGGGCCCGGGTCTGCGCTCGGCACGGGGCGGGGCGGGGGGCGCGCACGCCCTGCCCCCCGGCGTGCCCGGGTGCAGAGCCGCGGCCTGAGCTCGCGTTGGGCCGAAAGTGGGCCCCCCACCCCGCGTCCAGCCCGCTGGCCAGCCGGCTGCTGCCCCTGGGGCTCTCGCGCCGCCTGGGAGCTCTGGAGAGCCCAGTGCGCCCGGGGGAGAAACCTTGTGACCCCGAGCGAGCGAGCCAGCGGCCTCCAGCCGCCATGGAGAATGGCCGCTCCTGTGGGTCCCTCCCTGGCCACTGGGGCCCGCTCCTCCCGCATGGACACCCCCAGCCAGGGACACGCACCCCGAGGTTTAGGCCAGGGCAGCCTCAGAGGCTGGGAAGCGGCATGGGCGCGTCCGCGGCGGGTTTGCAGGCCGCGAGGGCCTCCAGGGAGCAGGGCCTGCAGGGGCTGGACACTCCCAGGGCCCCAGGGTGTCAGAAGCGCCCCCACAAGGCTCCCCTGGACCCCGGGGCTGCAGAGCAGGGTCAGCTGGCTCTGCCACTTGGGGGCTTAAACCAGACAAGGTGTGAACACGGCCGCTGGGCGATTGGGGTGTCGGCCCGGCGGCCAGAAACGTGGCTGTGACCTTTGGAGGTGACCGGTGAGGGTTTCTTTGCCTGCAGCTGTGGCCTTGGCTGGGAAGCACCGGGTCGGAGCCCGGCCCTGGTCTGCAGGGGACGCAGGGACACAGGGACGCCAGCCCTGGACTTCAGGGGCGGCCACTCTGGTCCTTGGGCAGAGCTGTGACCCAGCTGTGTCCACCCAGCACCCCTCGTCCGAAAGCAAGCTGCTCAGGCTCCAGGTGGGCCGAGAGGGGCAGGCCCTGCCTGAAGGGCCAGCGCAAACCGGGGGTCCCCCGGGGGGCCTCACCAAGGTGCCGTTTGTCAGCCACGCTGTTTCTTGTTGCGTGATTTGGGGAGTTGCGTCCGGCAACGCGGCCTTCGGGGACACCGTCCGCACCTAGTCCAGCGGCTCAACCCACAAGCCCAGTCCCGGTCTTTGCCCCAGAACGTCTGTCCCCACCTCCGGACAGAGGGACCCCGTTAGAAAGGGGGTTTCTCTGGTGAATCCGAGAGCTAGAAAACCTGCAGGAGGACTGTCCCCGCGGAAGTGGGTCTCCCCTTGTGGGGAGTGGGGTGAGCAGGGTCCCCACGGAGGGGAGACCCCTCAAGGTTGTGCAGGAAGGACGCCCCACTCTGCAGAGAGGGCTGGTGGGGTGCTGGTGGCTTCGGCGCCTCGTTTTCAAACCTTTTAAAGGCCCAAGAAAGAGCGACTGGTAAAGGGTCATTTGCAACTTGAGGATCTCAGAGTCTCTTCACCCCGTCAAAACGCGAACCCCAAAACCTTTGCTCTGCTGTCCATATGCAAACCGGACTGGAAACTTAAGGACCAATGTGCTTAAAGGAAGCAGCAGCCCCAGCACCCGGTTCCCGAACCGTATTTTTCCAAACAAAAGACCCCAACATTCAGCAAAATCAGGGGTGTCCCTGGTGGAGGCCGCATCCCCACCTCCCCTGGGTGTCTCCTGTCCCTTCCGAGGACGCTGACCGGGATGGGGTCCTCCTGAGTCCCGCACGCGTCACCCTGCAGGGACTCCGCTTCCAAATAAAGGACATTCCTAGGTTCCTGAGGAATTTGGGGGCGCGGCACCAGTCCCCCACCCTGGTTATTGCGAGTTCCCCAAGCAGGTGTCCCCTGGAAGAGGCCTGGGGACGCGCTTGGCTATGTAACATGGGGTGGAAAACTTGCAGACACAGCAGACGTCTCCAGGGAACTCCGGTGCCTTATGGGGTGACCCAGTCACAGAGGTGACCCCTAAATGATGCTCCCTGGGGCAGGATGTCCTGGCTGTCTGTGGCCCTCGCGCCAGCCCCGGTGATCTGAGCCAGCCCAGGTGGTCTGCGCCATGCACCAAGGGCTGGGAATTGTGCGCCCAGGAAGAGCGCGCGGGGGGGGGGGGGGGGGCATCTGGAGTTGGGGTGTAGGGAGGCATCTGTCTGGCGATGCGCAGGATCTGTTACGCCCTCATGCGCCCTGGCCGGCCTCAGAGGGGCGCCTGGGCCAGCCAAGAGCCTGGATTTTATTCTGGTTTGGCGTCTCCATGCGCGCATGTTGCCCGCGGAAGGCGGTTCTTGCTTACCCGCGCCTCGCGGCCGATTCGGGGCCTTCCAGGGTGGGCAGGCGCCTGTGCCCAAGCCCCGGCCGCTTCCCCAGAGCCTGGGGGCTCTCCCAACCGAGTGCCCGGCTCCCCAAGACTTGCATGTTGGAGACGCGAGGAAGCCCCGCCTCCCGGGACCTGCCTGCACGCACCAGCGCGCCCCTGCGCTGCGCCCTGCGCCCCGGCCGCCCCTCCTCCGCCGGCCCCTGCGCTCCGGCCCGGGTCTCACGCTCTTTGTCTCGCTGCTTCTCAGCAGGTGCCCGCGAATGAGCGGCGGCGAGGGCAGGCCCCGGCGCCGGAGCCATGGAGACTAAGGGGCTGGAGGGCGCGGCCGACCTGAAGCTGGTGGCGCACCCGCGCGCCAAGAGCAAGGTGTGGAAGTACTTCGGCTTCGACACCAACGCCGAGGGCTGCATCCTGCAGTGGAAGAAGATCTACTGCCGCATCTGCATGGCGCAGATCGCCTACTCGGGCAACACCTCCAACCTCTCCTACCACCTGGAGAAAAACCACCCCGAGGAGTTCTGCGAGCTGGTCAAGAGCAACACGGAGCAGATGCGCGAGGCCTTCGCCAGCGCCTTCTCCAAGCTCAAGCCCGACGCCGCGGCCGCTGCGCAGCCCGGCGGCACCGCGCCCGAGGCGCTGGGGGCCGCGCCCGCCGCCAAGGCGCACGCCCACGAGGGTAAGCGGCAGCAGGAGCTCACGGCCGCCGTGCTGGGCCTCATCTGCGACGGGCTGTACCCCGCGTCCATCGTGGACGAGCCCACGTTCCGCGCGCTCCTGAAGACGGCCGAGCCGCGCTACGAGCTGCCCAGCCGCAAGTTCTTCTGCGCCAAGGCGCTGCCGGAGAAGTACGGCGCGGTGCGCGAGCTGGTGCTCAAGGAACTGGCCGACGCGCCCTGGTGCGGCGTCTCCACCGACCTGTGGACCAGCCCGAACCAGAACCGCGCGTACGTGACGCTGGCCGCGCACTTTCTGGGCGCGGGACCCCCGCCCGGGCTGGCGCTCGGCTCGCGCTGCCTCAAGACCTTCGAGGTGCCCGAGGAGAAGGCGGCGGAGACCATCACGCGCGTGCTGTACGAGGCGTTCATCGAGTGGGGCATCGGCGCCAAGGTCTTCGGCGCCACGACGGACGGCGGCAAGGACATCGCCAAGGCCTGCTCGCTGCTGGACATCCCGGTGCACATGCCGTGCCTTGGGCAGACCTTCAACGCGGGCATCCAGCAGGCCTTTCAGCTGCCCAAGCTGGGCGCGCTGCTGGCACGCTGCCGCAAGCTGGTGGAGTACTTCCAGCAGTCCAGCGTGGCCATGTACATGCTGTACGAGAAGCAGAAGCAGCAGCACCTGGCGCACTGCATGCTGCTGAGCAACCGCGTGGCCTGGTGGGGCAGCACGCTGGCCATGCTGCGGCGCCTGCGCGAGCAGCAGTTCGCCATCGCCGGCGTCCTGCTGGAGGACAGCAACAACCACCACCTCATGCTGGAGGCCGCCGAGTGGGCCACCATCGAGGGCCTGGTGGACCTGCTGCAGCCCTTCAAGGAGGTGGCGGACATGCTGTCGGCGTCCAGGCGCCCGGCCATCAGCATGGTCAAGCCGCTGCTGCACATGCTGCTGAACACCACGCTCAGCGTCAAGGAGACGGACGCCAAGGAGATCAGCATGGCCAAAGAGGTCATCGCCAAGGAGCTGGCGCGCACCTACCAGGAGACCCCCGAGGTGGACATGTTCCTCAACGTGGCCACCTTCCTGGACCCGCGCTACAAGCGGCTGCCCTTCCTGTCCGCCTTCGAGCGCCAGCAGGTGGAGGACCGCGTGGTGGAGGAGGCCAAGGGGCTGCTGGATAAATGCAAGGACGCCGTGGGCGCCCCAGACGGTGCCGGCGGCGGCTACCGCGCCGGGGAGGACAAGCTTTACGCGCTGGCTGACGAGCCTCCGGCCAAGAAGCTGGCGCTGCCGCCCACACCGCCGCCCAGCAGCGTGGTCAACTCCATGCTGGCGGAGATCTTCTGCCCCACGGGCGGCGGCGACGACCAGGAGGAGTGCCACGCGCAGGTGGTGGAGGAGCTCAGCAACTTCAAGTCGCAGAAGGTGCTGGGGCTGAACGAGGACCCGCTCAAGTGGTGGTCGGACCGCCTGGCGCTCTTCCCCGTGCTGCCCAAGGTGCTGCAGAAGTACTGGTGTGTGGCGGCCACGCGCGTGTGCCCGCAGCGCCTCTTCGGCTCCTCGGCCAATGTGGTGAGTGCCAAGCGCAACCGCCTGGCGCCGGCGCACGTGGATGAGCAGGTGTTCCTCTACGAGAACGCACGCTGGGGCGGCGGCCCGGGCGCCGAGGCGGAGCCGGAGGACGAAGACGAGGGCGAGTGGGGGCTGGAGCAGGCCTTCCCGCTGGGGGACGCCATGCCCGCGGGCTTCTTTGGCGTCGGGGGCTTGGTGTAGTGCCTGCCAGGGTGGGCGCAGGGCACCGCAGGGTGCCCGGGGCGCCACGGAGGCTTTGCTGGTAATGCCAGGCGGAAAGGCCGCGCCAAGCCAGGGTACGGGAGGACATGGACATGCGGAAAGGCATCTGCTTTGCGCGCGCACGCAAGCGCCACCGCCTTTTTCGGGGAGCTGCCACCTGCATCCTTTTCTTCTCGGCGGAGGGATAAGAAGCATCTGGAAAGACAGAGTCCGTGCAAGGCGAACACCGGACAGTCGGACAGAAGCAGAGCTGGGAGGGCGGGCGCGCCCCACAGCAGTAGCGACTCCGCGGTGCCATCTGCGTCCTCCCGCGACGCTTTGGGGTGATCCTAGAAGAATCCACGCCGCGGAGGCCGATGTCCACTGACCGCTCGGCTTGTGCCCTCACCAGACTTGCTGCGTTGTCACTCCGGGGGGCCCAGCCGAGTGCCAGGGGGAGAGTGGCGCGCGCCGAGGGCGCAGGCACTTGCAGGAGCGCAGCCAGCGGCGGGGTCTGTTTTCATCCCCACGAGGGACCCCCCCCAGCTTGCTCTCTGAGCCCCTAAACCCATTTTCCAGGGCTGGGACCTAGTGCCTGCCTGGAAACCCGGCCCCCGCGTGCGCCCAGGCTCAAGGAGCGGCTGTGAGTTTGGTGCCGGGGAGGAGGCGCCTTTGGGGATTTCGAGGCTGACGTGAGACCAGGACTACGGGGCGCGTTCTCTTGGGGCTCAGCGGCGGTTGTCGGGGCGCTTTGAGGGGAGACAGGAAGACAGTTTCCAACATTAAATTCTTGATCTAGATTTTTTTTTTCATCAGAGGCTTTTCTTGGGGGGCTGGGCCGGCGGCTTCAGCCCTGCCCGGGCGCACAGGGCACCGCCGCGGGGACCTCCCCCTGGCTCGAGGCGGCCCCGCTGGGGCCTGTCCAGAGGGCGCCACCCACACCGACATCTGGGGCGCAGCTTTGGGGAGGAAGCTTCTCGGCCCTCACGGCTGGGGACTTGGGGACACTTTCATCTTCTCACGGACCTTGTGTGTTTGGGGGGCTGCGGGGTGGCCAAGGGCAGCCCTGGTGGCTTGTATTTGAAGGCACGAGACTCCCTGGCCACTAGGGCCCCCCCAGGGCAGCCTGAAGGACCCCAGCTCCTGCTTTTTCCCCTGCTGAGGCCGAGCACCCCCAGGAGCACCCCGGCTGCCTCTTGTCTGCGCTTGGCCTTGCATTTTCCTTTGGGGATCCCTGGCCCCCAGGGGTGCCTTGTGTGTCTCTTACTGACTCTGTGGATATGGATCCCCCCACGATAAAGCCCACGGGCTGCCCGTCCAGTGTCCATGGGGGTGGTGCAGCCCAAGGAACACTTAGGAGTGGGGCTTCAGAGACGCCCCCAACCACGGGTGCGCCCCACACCCTGCGCCTTATGCTCGGACCTTGCAGGAGTGCACACGGGGTGGCCCGGGGCCTTTAGCAGCTCAGGGAGGCCTCATGAGCACAGGGATGGAGACTTTTCCTGGGGTGATGGCTCACCCCACTCCCAACGGGCCCTCCCTCCCTCCTGCACCCCTGTGGGCCCCTCTGGGGCTGGTGGAGCCACCGAGGTCACATCCTGCAGGTGAGCGGGAGACCCCGGTTTCACCCCATGTGCGGAGAATCCACAGTGAGCACAGGAATTAGGGGTCCCCCACCTGGGTGAGGAGGGGTGGGGCTTCCTGGAGAGAGGGGGGCTTATGGGGTGGGGGGCTCGCAGGAGGGGGGCTCGCCCCCAAGACCAGGTGCTCTGGGGTGAGATACTTCCCTGCTGTAGGAAGAGGTTCCCCACAGAAGGGCTGTTTCTGGTGCAAACCCCAATTCTGGGGGAGCCCCCAATTTCCTTCTATGAAGCCCTTGAATGATCTCACTCAAAATAATGCAAGTGCCCAGGTGACATGTCTTGGGGGACCTATTCTGAGCGTCTTGGGGGGCCTGTATTGAGCATCTCGGGGGCCTGTTTTGAGCATCTTGGGGGTATGTTGTAAACATCTTGGGGGGCCTGTTCTGAACATCTTGGGGGCCTGTTCTGCATATCTTGGAGGGCCTATTCTGAGCATTTTGGGGGGTCTGTTCTGAGAGTCTTGGGGAGCCTATCCTGAGCATCTCGGGGCCTGTTCTGAGCATCTTGGGAGCCTGGTCTGAGCATCTTGGGGGTCTATTGTGAACATCTTAGGGGACCTGTTCTGAGCTTCTTGGGGGGCCTATTCTGAGCATCTTGGGTGGTCTGTTGTGAGCATCTTGGGGGAATCTGTTCTGAGCATCTTGGGGAGCGTGTTCTGAGCATCTTGGGGGCCTGTTCTGAGCTTTGGGGGCCTATTCTGAGCATCTTGGGGGGTCTGTTCTGAGCATCTCAGAAATCTGTTCTCAGCATCTTGGGGGGCCTGTTCTGAGCATCTCGGAGCAGCCAACTTATTGCGGGGAGCCCAGCAGGATGAGCAGGTGTACCTGGGAGCGGCACCCCCCACCCCCCCAGTCCTCACACCTCTGCCAGTTATTGCACAGACACAGATTTGTTGGTGACTCAGGTCTGGGCACTGTGATTGTGTAGAGGTGGGAGGAGATACCGATGGATGGACAGACGGGTGGATGGACAGACGGGTGGATGGGCAGAGGGAGATTACATTAGCACCCCTCACTGCAGCGTCCATCGTTTATAGCTCATGAACACCTTTTTCAGGGCTGAATACTATTCCACCCCACTCAGTGTTCCTCTACCCACTGCTGATGGGCCTGTGGTTTGACCCACTTTTCCGCCTGCTGTGCATCACACAGACCCTTTGAGTGGACCCGTCGTCCCTTCCCCTGACTGGGAGGTGCCCAGGAGGGAACCGGCAGCCCCCTGTGGTGTCACCGTGTCCAACCCTTGAGTAACCCCATTGGTTTCTGAAGTGGCTGCACCCCAGGAGGCCACGAGGGTCCTCACGTCTGTCTCCTCACCCACATTTGGTCTCTTCTGCCTTCGCCCTCCAGGTGGTGGCCACCCCAGCAGATGTGAGTGGGTCTCACTGACTAAGAGTCTTTTAGGGGGAGGGGACTTACTTTAAAAGGGGGGCGGGTGCCAAGCTCCCTTGTCATTTCCCGACAGGGCCGCGAACGGATGGTTTCAGCGTGAGGGATTGCGCCCCCCACCTCACGGGCTCAGCGGCACGCAGGCAGCTGGCCAGTGTTTGCTTTAGGAGGACAGGTCAGCAGAACTCAGTGTCCAGCAGCCCAGGAGGTCAAGGCCAGGCAGCCGTGCTGGCCCTGGGCTTGGACGGCACAGCCGCTGGCACCGTGTCCCTCCTGACCATGGCGACCACGTGCTCAGCCCTCGGAGGAGACAGGCCCCGGGTGGCGGGCACCGGCCTGTTTCCAGAGCAACTGGACAGGGGCCAGCAGGGCAGGCCGGTTTTCTCTTTCTTCTTTATCAAGGTGACGTGGGTTTGGGACTCTGTATGTGATTCTGGGGCATAGGGTCACATGTGTGTTACCGTCTGACCCCCCAACACAGCCCATGGTCCTTCGCCGTAGACCACTGTGTCCCCGACCCTCCAGCCCCCTCTGGTGGCCTCAGTTCTGCATGCAGATTTCTGGGTTTGTTTTGCATTAGGGTGAGGGTTACGGCTTAGAATTTAGGGTTTAGGGCTAGGGTTAGGGTCATGGTTGGGGTCTGTTCCTTTGCTTAATTTCTCTAAACTCGACACGAGTGAAACTATCCACCTGACTTCGCCTCGCCCCTTCTGTTCCTCTCCATGGCGCAGCCAATGGCAAGAGGCATCTTTTTCACGGCTGCGTAGTATTCCACCATGTGAAAACCACCCCATCTTTTTTTGCTTTTTCCTTTTTGGAAGAAGGTGGTATTCGATGGCATGAAATTGACATTTTTTAAGTTTTTCAGATGCTTGTAGGTGGACCCGCAGCTGTAAGCATGACTGTGAAGACAGCCTGGGTCTCCCCCACAGCTTCTCTCTCTCCCTGCCCCCCTCCACTCCCCTCTGGTCCTTAACCCTCAGCACCCCTGATCCTTTCTCAATTTTTATGGTGTGGTCGTTTCAACAGTGCCCTCTGCTGGGGGTCATGCCCCGGGGAACCCTTGTGAACCTGCTTAGCAGAATTCCCTGCAGACTCATCCAAGCTGTTGCCGCCACGATGGGCTTTTCTTTGTAATAACACCTGTGAAAAGTCCTGCGGAAAATCACCGCGGGATGAGCCCGCTCCCCCTCGTACACCAGCCGCAGCGAACGTTTCTGCTCCTTTCTCCTCGCGGTGGGAGTGTAACTGTGGCGCCGACGCCTCGAGGTGGAGTTTCTGGGTCAAAGAGAATATGCGTGTCACGGTTTCCTGGCCACGTCCTCCCGCCCCCTCCCGAGAAGACACAGTCCCGGTCGGGAGGAAACTGTGTCAGCGCCCAATTAGGTGTTCTGGGGAGGACTGATCCCAAAGAAGGCTCTTCCTTGTGACCTGTTCTGCTCGGTAAAAGCGAGCAACGGCCCTGCCTTCTACTTTATTTAATGGAGTCCCTGGACCATGTCCATCTGCATTGATTTCTCGGCACCTGCCAGTGCCTGCTTCACCTCTTTTGTCTACCTTGGGGGAGTTGTTAGGTTCTTGTCTTTTTTAACAGTGTAGACACTTCTCCACGGAAGAAGGCAACAGATCCAGTGTCAGCTTCGATTTCAAGCCACATACATGACCGGGACTTGGGGTGGGGGGGAGCGGGGGGCGGTTTTGCCAGCTTCTGAGCCGTCCGCCAGGCAGTGACCCACACCATGGAGTCTGTATCCTGTCCACATCCTGGTCTGGGCGGTGACACCCTGGAGGTCGATATTTCTGTTCCCAGCACAGGATCTGGTGCCCTCTGGGGTTGGGGCCTCGGCCAGCTGACCCATGACCCTTCCTCCGTGACCTGAGACAGCCCCGGGGAGGGGTGGAGCCTGTTGGGAAGGCGGGTTTCACGGCTCGAGTGGCATAAACAACAGCTGAGCACGCTCCGTTCCAAGCCGAGGGCCCCTGTCTCAGCAGAGCCCCCGAACAGTGCCCACAGGCGAGTCCTCCATGTCTGCTCACGTTTGGGGGAACCCTGAATGACCACTGACTTTGTGGACACCCAGGGAATTTCCCAACAGCGTCCAGGGAAGGCTGGGACAATGCACTAGGCAAAAACAGAGCCCGAGCCGGGGCGGTCAGCCAGCTGCCTGGAGAAATACTGTGGGGCCTTGCCTCTGACATGGGTCATCCCAGGAGGCCTTTCCCTGCACCCACTGAGAGCCCCCGGCTGCCCCGGGAGGTCTTCGTGGAGTAGACAGAAGAGGAGCAGTAGTTGGCACCTGGTGGCCCCATCTTCTGTGTCTTCCCAGGAGGGAAGTGGTGTGGGATGCCCCCTGGGGTCTTTCTTACAAAATTCCAATCTCTTCAATTTGTCTTTTGTTGGTTTAATTTGAAGGCGTCTCAGCATCAACCCCAGAGACCCCTCCGCTGGTGAAGCCGTCGCATTGCTGGTTAGGATTTAACGTGTGAATTTTATGGGGTGGGGGACGGGAGAATTATGAAATCCGCGTCCTATACCGCCCGCTCAAACTCAAGTAGAAATGGCGTTTGCGTGAAATGGGCTTGTTTTGAGGGTCACAGAGAGACAACTTAGGAGAAGTGAATCTGGCCGTAGTAGTTCCAGGTCAAGTTAGTAGTCGCCTACAGATCTAGGAGCCCCTTATGACTCGGGAATAGCCGGGTGGTTTATTCCGGTCAGAACCAGGCCAGAAAACACCAGTGCGACTTTTTATTAAATTCAGCCTTTTCTCGGTTTCGTTTTCCCCGGCATGGCTTTAAATAACCCAAAGGGTTGCTTTTTAAAAGATACTCGTTCACGCTCTGTTGTCCCCGAGGTCTGCAGGAGTTCCTCGTGCAATTAATATGAAATATCTTGTTTACACAGGCGAATTAAAATATGTGTGTTTAAGGCTTTGCTCGCTGACAAGATGATTAATTGTAAAAGGAAGTCATTTGTTTCCCTAGATTCAGAAACACACAGAGCCACAAATAAAGGAAATTAAAGTCAAGCTCGGCATTCCTATGTCCTTTCTCCTGCGGAATTGGTTCCTCTCGCTCCTTCTGGGGCCCGGTTTGGTGGCCACTGGCCCATCGGGTGAGGGCCACACGACTGGAAACTTTATTTTTGCCCCCATCCCTTAACATTTTTTATTTTCTCTGTGTTTAGCTTGTTCATTTCTCTCCATCTGTGACATTGTGAGTTCCAGCCGCCCTGGGGTCTGGGAACCCCTAGTTGCCTGGACCCTGGACCTGAGCTGACCAGAGGATCTAGGGGGACAGTGGCCTGGGCATGAGACCCCCAAGGAGAGTGGGGCAGCTTTTTCTTCCTCAATCGCGTGGGGACCACCGATGAGGTGTCGAAAGGTTTCTTCTCTGGATTGAGTTATGTTCTGCATATAACACTGTGTGTATTTGATGCTTCCGTGAGGTGAAATGGCTGTTAATGAGGTTGTTCGTTGGCCACCGGGTGACTTAACCCGTTCTACACCCCACCTAGTGAATCCCCACCCATTTCAGAATAATCGTGACCCCTACTCAGGGCAGCGGGCGCTTTGCCTTGTCCTGGTGGGGGACAGCCAGCTGGGAGCACTTGCCCTGGGCATGGTGAGGATTCCGGTGAATCATGCCAGTTCATTTTCTGTGGTGAACCCCCCGAAAATATCCCGTGGGAGAAGATACACAGAACGGGGAGCTGGGGTGCAAGAAGCCACGTGGGAGATGTAATAACTTGACCAGTTTTGTTGCCAAAAAGTAGCCTGGAAATCAAAGACCAGTTGTAAAAGTCGGGGGGCTCTGTTTCCATCGAGCACTCTGCAAATGCGAGGGGCTGCTGCTGCTGCTGCTGAGGGAGGCTCTGATGGGGCTGCGGGTGGGGCCAGGACTGTCCCCCAGCATCTAGGGGGGGATGACACTCAGGAAAGAGGACAAGTTAAGGGGCCGAGGAGACCGTGGTGGACGGGATAGATCTGTTGCATCATTGGCCACCAGGTGCCCAGTCAAGTGGCCAGACCACCTTTCCTCTCCACTCTCCCCAACCCCAGCAGACACCCCCGTCCCAGCACCCCATTTTGACTCGTAGTCCCATCCACCCACCTGTGGCTCCTGGGGACCCTGCCGGACACCCTGGGGGTGGGGGTGAGATGACCCCGTGCCCCCACCCTCTGCCCTGCCTCTCACCTCTCAGCTGCACCCTGCTTTGTCACGGCCATTCCTGACCCCCATAGAGAGCCCCCGGCCACCCCAGTGCCCTCTCTGCTACAGCCTGGGTCTGCTGGCGTGGACGTCCATGCCGCACAAAGCAAGCTTACTCTCGCCTTTCCAAGGCCACATGCTGACCCCGGACACCGGGGCTGGCTGACCCCGCAGGGCTGGCTTCTCCTGGCCGCCATGTGTAAGATCGTCAATAGGAACAGCCGTGGGGTCTTTCCAGATGCAACCGGCAGCCCAGGCCCCGTCCCCACTCTCCTTGGGGGTCTCACGCCCAGGCCACTGTCCCCCTAGATCCTCCGGTCAGCTCAGGTCCAGGGTCCAGGCAACTAGGGTTCCCGGACCCCAGGGCGGCTGCAACTCACAATGTCGCAGTGCCCCGTCCCCTGTGCCGGAGCCCGGTGTCCCCTCCCGGGTCAAGGGTCTCCTTCGCCTTCCCTCCGTGCTGTCCACGGCCTGGATGGAGCTGCCCATGACTTTATTGGGGGGTTATTAGCGCCGCACCCCAGGGACATGAATTCCAGAATCCCACAAATGCTCACGTGCTCCCTTTACCATGTCCTTGGGGAGCCAGTGCGTCCGCGCTTCCGAGACACCCACCTGTTCAGGGGCACCCTCCCGGACGTGGGGGTGCCTCTTTGCCCCCCAATAATAATAAAACTTGCACTTGAAGCCTCGAAGCCACCATCTCCGGCCACAGGGGGTGCTGCTGAGCCGGGACAGCTGACCCTGCGGGGCGCAGATTGCTGCAGCGAATCCAGGGACGCCGCCCTTGGTCCTCAGCCCAGAGGAGCCCCCCGACTTTGCTTTTTTTTTTCCCCTCTCTGCAGTTTTCCCGCCACAACCGGGACGTGTCGCCATAGTGACCGGAGGGACAGTTGGCATCGGCTATGCCACGGCCAAGCACCTGGCGAGGCTCGGGATGCACGTGATCATAGGTGAGGGCCCCGCTCGGCCGGCCACTGGCTCCTGGGCTTGTGGTCACCAACTCGCTGCCCTTTCAAGACATCTCAGTCCCCTCAGCGGCCCCACCCCACGCTGATAACAGGGCGAGTTAATTTGCAGGGGCGGCCACAGCAGACCCCAGCCTGGGGACTCACACCCCACAAGGGTCTCCCGTCCAGGCCCGGGTGGGGCAGGCCGTCCCTCCTGACCGCCCTCCCGGGGCCCCCACGGGGTCGTCTCTCTGGGGGTGTCTGTGTCCTCACCTTCTTAGAGGGACCCCGTCCCATGGAGTCTAGTTGCTTTAGGTCATGATGGCATGGTTGGGAAGACCTGGGAGGGCAGGTGGGTGGACAGGAGGGGTCAGGTGGGTGGACAGGAGGGGTCAGGTGGGTGGACAGGAGAGGGAGGTGGGTGGACAGGAGGGGTCAGGTGGGTGGACAGGAGGAGTCAGGTGGGTGGACAGGAGGGGTCAGGTGTGTGGACAGGAGGGGTCAGGTATGTGGACAGGAGAGGGAGGTGGGTGGACAGGAGGGGTCAGGTGGGTGGACATGAGAGGGAAGTGGGTGGACAGGAGGGGTCAGGTGGGTGGACAGCAGAGGGAGGTGAGTGGACAGGAGGGGTCAGGTGGGTGGACAGCAGAGGGAGGTGGGTGGACAGGAGGGGTCAGGTGGGTGGACAGCAGAGGGAGGTGGGTGGACAGGAGGGGTTCAGGTGGTGGACATGGGAGGCGGGTGGGTGGACAGGAGAGATGACCGTCCTTGCTGGCCGGGGTCCCCCGCTGTGTCCTTGTGGGGACGTCTCCCCAGGACTACAGGAGCTGTAGGCCCGGCTCAGCCCACCATGGGGTTCCAGCCTCATGGGTCACGGCACCCCACAGGGGTCAGCGGCTGAGAGCCCTGGACCTTTAGTGCCCCCTGCTGCTCACGGGCACTTGAGCCCCAGCACCGCCCCTTCTGTTGTCGCCATGCACCTCATTAGCAACCTCGGCAATTGCATCTCACCCCACATTTCCTCGCGTGTGTCTGAACCCCGAGTGCCTCGCCCAGCACACACCACACGTCAGGGCCCCCCGACCGCGTCCATGCAGACCTGGACAGTCTCCGGTACGGGATAAAGAATCATCACCCCGGAGAAGCCCTGGGGGTTTGAGGACTTTGGGGTGTTGGGAGCAAAAGGGGGATCCATGGACAGCAGGGGAGGACAGTGAGCGCCGGCGGGTGAGAGAGCGGGGGCCACATGCCGCAGAGGAGGGAGAAGCTGCACCCCTAAATCACACAGCAAGTGGGGTTTCCGGCTCCAGCGCGCATGAGTGGGTGGGTGTGCCCCCCACATGGCCCCTCAGAGGCTTCTACTCCCAGACGCCGCCTGCCAGCAGGACAACGCGGGGCTGTTCTCGGCTTCTCCCCGTTCATTGTGCCATGGGGTGACCGGCTTGCCCGCCACGGCTGAAGAGCAAATGTCAAAAATACCCGCTTTCGGGGCCAGTCAGGTGGCACAAAATGCGCCGGGTGGAGGCCGCCGAGAGACGCCAGCACCCCATCTCGCGTCCGCCCTGTGGAAAGCACTTGGGCCGCGAGCGTCCGGCCCCGAGGCCCCGGGTGCCCCCGAGTGACCGCGCCTGTCCCTTCTCCTCGCAGCGGCCAACGACGACGCCAGAGCCCAGGACGCGGTGAGCCGGATACGCCGGGAGACGCTGAACCAGAAAGGTGAGCCCCGGGCACCCTCCGGCTCCCGTCCCCGTGGCCCGCGCTGGGGTGCGCCCGGCGGTGCTGGCGCTGCAGGTGGCGCTGCCGCTGCTCCTTGTGCTTTTGGGGGGCAGTTTCCGGTGCTCAGGGGCACCGCGTTGCAAGCTTGGGGCGCCGGGCGGGGCCGGGCCGCCGTGGCCTTGCCGCAGGGGTTGCGGAGCCAGGACGGGGTTTGCCACCCGGCGCGCCGAGGCCGACGCCCTGACGACGGGGTCCGAGAAGGGAAGCCGGGTGGTGGCAGGCGGAGTGGACGCAGGACACGGACTCAGACCTGCCTCTCCAGTGTTAATTAATTAAAGGGAGTTAATTCTCTTCTGTGGGTTCTGAGAACTGGGGTTCAGGCAAAAGAGGCTGAGTTTAGCGGCCTGGACGGCGGGCGCGGTTGGCGTTGGTGGGCCGGGGACAGGGCGGTCGGCGCCCGGAGCAGCGGGACAGGCTGCTCTGCAGGGGGCTGGAGTTTAGGGTTTCTGTTGGGGGACTCCCGGGTCTGGGGAGCCCCCACCCCGCACCCCCACCCCTCTGTATCTGTGTTTCTGGCTCCGACCGGCCTGGGAGCTGAGCGCGCGGTCAGTGCACGGTCAGTGCACACACCTCCGGGCTCTGCGGTGCCCGCACAACAAGCCTCCGAGGAAACTTTTTCTGCTTCGGAGCTTGGAGCCCCTCGGCCCCCAGCACGATCTCGAAACCCGTCTTGGCTCCTGGTCCAAACCCGGGCCCAGGGTCCTGGGTCATGCCAGGGGCAGGCGCGACCCTCGCCTGTGAGTTCGTGGCTTCCGATCAGACCGACGGCTGAAGCCAGGGCTCGGGTGCTGCTGTGCCCGACCCAGACGCCCGTCCCCCCGCACTGTGCCGACTCCCCGCGTGCTGTCGGGTCTGGTTCTGCCGTTCGCGCTGCGGCTCCTTCTGGAGACAGCAGAGAGAGCAGATGGGAGAGCCGCGTGGGAAGCCGCTGAGGGGGTTTGGGGCACCCCAGCAGCTGGGGGCTCTCTCGGCATTGAGTAGGAAACTCACAACCAGGGAGAGGCTGTCCCGATGGGTCCTCGGGCTCCCCCCAGGGCAGCCGCTCACTCTGCTTCCTCCGAGGCCGACGCCCCACTGCGCACCCCACCTGCCCGTCTGCCCTGGGGGGTGTCAGAGGGAGACGCATCCCCAGACCCTGCCCCTGCGGGTCGAGGCGTGGCCACACGGCTGCACCCCCATCTCCCGGATCACCTCCCGGAAGCCGGCGCCTGTGGTCCTTTGTTCTATAATTTCTGAATTAATTTTTCCGATGCTGATGTAAAGGATTCTCAGGGGATGACGCTCACCAAAAAGCTGGGACAGGGAGGTTCCGGCGACAAAAACTTGACAGTCTTTTGCCCAAACTTCCCTGATTTCAATCAGTAAAAGTAGCTCGTCTGGTGCCGAAATCCCCTGAAATAAATTCATAAGGATGTTCTGCTCCCCGCTCTGGCTCTGGTGGATCCTCTCCCCGTCCTGCGCTGCTGACTGCACCCAGTGCTTGTATAAATAAATAGATAAATCTTAAAAAAAAAAAAAAAAAAGAACTTTCTGGAATGATCTAGAACTTTCTAGAACATTCTAGAACTTTCTAGTTCTGTAGGTTGCGCCTCAGGGAGGATCCGAGGGTGTCACTGGGTGTCAGGCTTAGTCTCGGGGGACGAACCGGCCGTCTACGAACCCTGAGGTCTACCACACAGGGACCCCTAGGGGACCCCCATTCGCGGAGGAGACGACCGGGTCACCCCCAGTTACCCAACTCAACCGCAGGCCAGGGAGGCTCCTGTTCACTGGTTTTGAGCAGAAAATGTCGCCCAACAGCAGCTCACGAGGAGCAGAAATCATGGCCGCGTGCAGCTGACTCGAGTGGGGACGACATTTCTGTCCCCTCCCAGGGATGAGAGAGAGGGGGGCGATCCTGCGCCCCCATGTCACCTGCGGGCCAGGTGTGTATTCTTTGCCCCTCCTTGTGTCACCTGCCACTCTCATCCCCAGGTTCCCAGCTGGGAGACGCACTTCCCAAGGCCACGTGGTCAGCACCAGCGTGTCCACCTGTGCCGGCCCCAGGGGCTGGCTCTCGGCCTCCGGTTACTTCACTGGGGCTTCCTTCCTCTTTGCTTTCACGGAAAGGGGAGTTCTGGACCCCCCCGTGCTGGGTCAGGTCAAGGAAGGCCCCAGGTGCTCTTACCTGCCAGTGATTTTCATTGGAAAATCCATCTTGGGAACCACAAGCTTTGCAGCTGGCCACGTGCAGAAGCTGCAGTCACCACGGCCAGAGCTCCATCCCGTACCCCCTCCTGCCTCCTTCCCTGCGTGAACAGCCTTTTCCAGAGTCTCCTTCTGACTTATTTCAGTCGGCATCACCCCCTCCAGTCCGGCCATGGCATCACAAACGGCGAGCGCTCGCCTTTTTCATGGCTGCGTAGTACTCCATAATGTGTATCAGCTGCAGCTTCTCTATCCGGTTGTCTGTGGATGTGTATTCAGGGTGATTCCACATCGTGGCTATTGGGAACTCTTCATCCGGGCTCCCCCCACCCCCAATTGCTTTATAAAGAAATGATGTTGCATGAAATGGGCCTATTAGACAACATCTGTGCCGTCTGAGAGAGGATTCCGGTGTTGCACGGAGATGGCCCTCCAGGGGCGCAGACTTATAGGGTTTTCCTTGAACCCCTAGACTCTGATTGTGTAGTACGAGCCTTATGGGTGGGGCACTTGTGGGGAGACTTGAGTGACTGCTGGTTGTGTGGTCTCTCCCCACCCATGTCTCAGCCGCACACACCGGGGAGGCCCCTCGGATCCAGGCTGCAGTTTCGGCTTCTCGGCCCAGGCGCCCGTGTCTGGGGTCAGTCTGCCCGTCTTCACAGCGCCCACCCCGTCTCCGTGGCCTCCTCAGGACGAGCTGGGCCCTGTGTCTGCTGCAGGGCACGGGATTCAGGTTGGGGGGCGTCGTCCCCGGAGCACAGGCCAGCAATGGCGTTGAAAATGCACGGGCCCCTGTTCCCATCTCATTCTACTGATTCCAGCTGGAATTTGCAAACACCCACAGGCGTGTTCGTTTTTGAAGCTGCCCTTGCAAAGCACGAAGGCAAAGAGCAGACGCACAGGCAGGGGCACGAGGTTATAAACCGCGGAAGTGGAATTATCCCGCGTCACGGCCGCGGGCCGCAGCCAAGACATTAGGAGAATTTATAGGACGCTGCGTTCCCGAGCTGGTGAGAAATGAAAAATAAAAATCTGTGACCCGGCAATCGGGATGCAGCGACAATGAGACAGTAGGGGGAGAAAAAAATAAGGTGCAGAGATCGCACGCCAGGTGGAAGGGAGGTGCCACAAGCACAATCAATGGTGGCGTCCTGAGGAATAAGAAAGCATCATTAGTCACCAAACAATTATTCGTCTTTCACCCCAATTTTTTAAAAAAGGCAAGAACGCTCATCCTGCGTGTTTTTCCACCCTAAGGACGCTGTAGATCACGGGCTCTGCAAACGACAGGCCCAGGATTACCTCTGGCCCTCCACTTGTTTTTGCTAATAAAGTTTTATCGAAACACAGCCACCCCCATTCCTTCACCCACTGTCTGTGGCTGCGTTTGTCCTACGTCAACAGGGTCAAAGAGTTGCCACTGGTGCCATATGCGGCTGAAAATATGCACGTTCTGGGCTCAGTGGTGGACCCCCTACCCCTGGTGGGTGCACCGATAAGCAAAATGTCCATCTGCACCGTGGGATACTATTCGGCCACGAAAAGGAAGAAGCTCTGGCACCTGCCTACACATGGAAGAACGTTGGCGCCGTGGAATACTATTCAGCCACGAAAAGGAAGAAGCTCCGGCACCTGCTAACACATGGAAGAACGTTGGCGCCGTGGAATACTATTCAGCCACGAAAAGGAAGAAGCGCCGGCACCTGCTAACACATGGAAGAACGTTGGCGCCGTGGAATACTATTCAGCCACGAAAAGGAAGAAGCGCCGGCACCTGCTAACACATGGAAGAACGTTGGCACCGTGGAATACTATTCAGCCATGAAAAGGAAGAAGCTCCGGCACCTGCTAACACATGGAAGAACGTTGGCACCGTGGAATACTATTCAGCCACGAAAAGGAAGACGCTCTGGCACCTGCTAACACATGGAAGAACATCAGCACCGTGGAATACTATTCAGCCATGAAAAGGAAGAAGCTCTGGCACCTGCTAACACATGGAAGAACGTTGGGGGCATCCCCGGACTGTGTGAATCCACTTACAGGAGCCCCGGAGTCGTCAGACTCACAGAGACAAGAAGCGGACTGGTGTGTGCCAGGGCCGGGGCATTGAGTGTTGGACGGGGCGGAGTTTCAGGCGGGGCAGAGAGAGTGTCTGGCTTAGCTACTGAATAGACTTCCAGGTGGACAAACACCGTCGGCCGTGCTACTCTGTCCTCACTTGCAGGGAAAAGCGTATTTTCTTCTGAATTAATCGTAAAGCCCTCAGGGTGATTCCATGTCCTTCAGCTAACAAACAGCTGTGGAGATGGGTTGTGGAGCAGCAGCTGCAAGCTGGTGGAGGCTCTGTCTACACCCCACAGTGGGATTGAGTGGAGAACTAATGAGTTTGAAGTCCTGGTCTGCTCGATTGGTTCGGGCTGCCTGGCACCCTGAGATGGGGTGGTTCTGCAGCCAGGGACAGGTTGATGAAGCTGGCGGTGATGATGGTGGTGATGGTGGTGATGATGGTGATGGTGATGGTCGTGGTGATGGTGATGAAGCTTGTGGTGATGGTGGTGACGATGGTGATGATGGTGTTGATGGTGATGAAGCTGGTGGTGATGGTGGTGATGGTGGTGATGATGGTGATGGTGATGGTCGTGGTGATGGTGATGAAGCTTGTGGTGATGGTGGTGACGATGGTGATGATGGTGTTGATGGTGATGAAGCTGGTGGTGATGGTGGTGATGGTGGTGGTGATGTTGGTGAAG